GATCCGAAGCCCGCTACATCGCTGACAACCTACCAGAAACATGCATTTGGGCCTCTCAGCCCTCACTTTCGGGATTGCAGCAGCGCCCCTCTCCCCTCATCCTTTCCGGAGCGCGTCAGATAGAATGTATGTATACAGATATTGCTCATAGCACTGCATGAATATTTCTACCTGGTCTCGGTAGCATTCCGAAGCTCCCGACCGCCTGCCTTACTTCACTCAATTGGCTCCAAAACGCGCTCATCTGCCGTTGCACCTTCGGCGTAGGCCTCCAGTCGCAGCGCAGACGTCCCAAACAAGCTGTACACTTTACGGTACCTCTTCCCGACGTACGTATTGCCTTTCCGATCCGTCGGTGCAATCCCGACGTCAGCGCTGGACTCGTCTTTGAGCTCGCGTCTGGAACGTCATCTTCGCTCACCATGTTCCTCGCCCTCCCATACCTTCCCTGTACTGCTGCAAAGTACGGGCATGGGAACGCATAACCATGCTATAGAATTCAGCATTATTTATACATTCAACAGTACGTTTATGCACTGCTACAACCTGATGAAGAACGCCAGGAAACAAGCTTCTATTCAAGGCATCGGGACGCGTCGGGGTGCGTCGGGATACGTCGGGGCACATCGGGACGCGTCGAGACTGTCGGGACGCGTCAGGGTCGATCCCGAAGCTGTGATAAGAACCTCGGTATTATGTATATGGTTTTCATGGCCACCAGGGGGCGATATACTGAAGCCTGAGTTTGCGACAGTGTCCTCTGTTATCCTAACCTTCAATATAGGTACTGTCAGGCATGCCGTCGCGCACGAGGTCCCTAGCGCCTATGATGTGCCTGGAGACTGATCTCGGTCCAACGGCGCCCGTAACGTGGCTCGGGAAGGCCTACCCCGGCTTTGGAAGCGTCGGGATCGTCAACGTCCCGACGCCCCGATGTATCTTAGCACTCTTGTGTTCACTCAAGACTACATTCAGGCAGGTATTAGCTGCTAGGCGTGCAGCACAATGTCAAGCTTGGCCTAGGTATTGTACATCAAAAGAGCAAAGAAGGGAGGTGATACACATGAGACCAAACCTGGAATGAAGTTTTCTGATGCTGTGCTCGGGGCCTATATCTCCGGAGTTAGTCTATGTCCGGTGCTTCCCTGTCATGACATAGTACTTGAGATAATGTGTTGAGTTATGTAGGGGATTACATTGGACAATGCACTAGTATTGAAGCGCCTATGGCTACACAAACAAGCCAGAGTGGTAGCAGTATGTGGCGGAAGTCGCAGCCTCTAAGCCTGGACACCGGAAGAAGCTAGGAATCATTCCCGGCGGACGAACCGGACCCCCGATACTGTGGGATATTCTAGAACACGTCCCGGAGCGCGCATCCCGAATCTCTTCTCTGGCTGCGGAGGAGCACAAGTACACCCCGAGAAGCGGGTCTAGTACGGCGTCCGTAGCAACGGGAACGTCCTTTGGCCACCGAAGGCTTCGCAGATGATGTCGCGACGCTCTGTGAGGTAATTAGAACATGTACATCAGGGCGAAGCCTTGTCGGGAATACTCACACGAGTTCAGATGGATCGATGACAAGCCCGGTGACAGCAGCGACTGGCGTAGCTGGGTGTGCATGGTACAATAGCCGGGTCCTAGCACAGGAAAGCATAGCGTGTGTACGCCTTGCTAGCCTTGCCATAACTGCACGGCGGACAGTGGAAATGCGCTG